ACTTAGTGTGCTGCAGTTAACATGATAACGCTTGATAACTGCTCTTTGACTTTCTTAGGACAAATGAACACACACACATACAGACAAATTAGCGCTTTATTATAAGTTATGATTTTCTTGTTTGTAGTCAGACCAGCTTTCTCTGATTTTAACTTTTAAGCTTAGCTAAGATTTTGCGGAGGATAGGGTTTCTGGAGTAAATAAATTAAAGGACTATTGCTCAGGCTTTCCAGATATGTACCAACATTCTACGGTCTAGCTTCATAGCATCTAGAAGATGGTTGATTTTTTATGAAACCCCGATTCACAACGTTAATTATCGCACTGTTGGCACCAGGAAACGTGCGATTTTGATAAATTTAAGCTCAACGTCAACCACGCTTCAGTCGCTTATAAGATATGACCTATGTGGAGACATACATAGTCCTCAACTTATCATATTTCGGAAGGCGGTGTTTAGCTAATCCTGCTAAGCAGAGTTCTTGTTCGATGTCACTTTTCAACTCTGATGTAAAAGTCATTGTCTACGTTGTTCTTTTGACCAATAAGAACGGCATTACCTGCGATTATGACGTTAAAATAAAATTTTTATTGAACAAGTGATCAACTTCCATAACTGATTTTTTCTACTCTATTGAGTTTTCCCCTTCTTTACGAAGAATATTGGTCCAATACTGGCAATATGTGCAAAACTGCTTAGCAATAACAAACAAATGGACACAACAACCACGTAAGTGACTGTTCCTGAAAGGAAAAAAATTACGGTGCATTGGTTAACATTGGTTGCGAAAAACTCACTATCCTGTCGTAAAAAATCATTATTTCCTGGTAATGCCAATTGCTTGCGAATTGCGCGGAGAATCGCTTTAGTCTGTTTTTCTTTCCCTGACATATACGCCATTTTCTCCAATTCGATCTTAAAGGACTACGAGTGTACAGCATATTGCAGTTTATGAATTTGTAGGTATGAAAAGTTAAGCGCTCTAAAGTTGTACACTTTCGCTATAAATACAGACCCATCTATCACCTACCATAAGAAAAGACAGCGAATTGCAGTTATCTTCTGAATTGCATACGCATGTTGCATTTATCATACCGTTATAGCCGATTGTAGATACGGAACAGCCGGTATCATCCTTAAAATCGTGAAATCTATCACTTTTTTTTATTGAAAAAAAAATTATCTCATAATATTACATCATCATCGTCCAGACCGTATAGTTCGACTAAAAAAACCCGTTTAGATCCTAAATCATAATAAACTCGTATAAAACAGCTTGAACCTGGCATCATCTAGAATAGGATTAATCTATATATCGATTCGGTTACGGATTTTTTTACCGTAAGAGTATCCTGAAAGTATAGATACGACAAGTTGGCGCTGCGCTCGGAATAGCATGTACGGGTTGTACCGCTGAATACAGTTGCACAGCTGTAATAGGAACAATTGGAAAGTGTACGAGAAGGAAGGGGAGAGAATTATGAAGAGGGAGAGGGGGGG